GCTCTCTGAAGGTACTGAGGTACATTACATTGACGGAGCTGCCCGTGTCAATGTAAGTTCGGTGAATAATAGTGTCATTTATCTCTGTGCGGATGACGAGGGCATCCCTGTGTGGGGAGGACACTGGGGGAGATCAGCGTTAGTGAAGGTAATGGGTTCCTCCCTCAGCCGCTTTACTGGGGGCATATGAGTGACTTCCCCCACGTAAAGTGATTGAGCCCACTTCTTTCGTTGACTTGTAGAATCACCCCCGGTATTGCCCCCCGTGATCATGAGGATGTGGCGCTTCTTTTCTTGGTGCCGGGGGTACTCCTCCTCCTCTTCAAGGTTTCCAATCTCCCTCTTCTTGCCGAGGGGGATGGTGTTGGGGTTTACCCATGTGTTTGCTCTCGCAGGGTGCCCTCGAGGTGGCCCTTGGTGAGGGGGGGGGGGCTATTGCTGAGGGCCCTGGATAAACTGGGACAGATGGCCCGCTTGTATCAACCTTTCGATGGCCGTCTTCAGCTCATGGCAGTCATCGGTTCTGTACCCCTGGTGCCGGTGGAAGCGACAATAGGGGTAGTTTGTATTGATGGCATATACTTTCGGGGGTGCGCGTGAATCTCGCTCCACTAGGCCCCTCTCCTCAGCAAAGTCGAGGATGACGCTGACGGGATGCGTCAAAGGTGTCCGAGGGTGCTCCAGGAGAACAGGTTGTGCCCAAGCCCTCGGGTTCCCCTTGTAGCCTCCCCTGGGTTTGGCTTGGCCGTGCCGGGGGCGATCACCGGAGGGGGCCGAATCCTTGGGTTGATTACGGGGAGCCCCCGGCCCCCGATTGCCTTTGTCGTCTGGCCGAGGGCGTTGCTGATCGGGGATGTGATGGCATTTCTCCACCTCCTCGGCTTCGGCATACCTATCCCCCCGCCGTAGAGCCCTTATTTAATCGCGGGGGGGGGGGGGTCGATGATGAGGCTCCTCGAGAAGTTCCCGGGGCGGAGCACTGTTTGGAGGAGGGCCAGGAGGGTCCCGTCGTCAGCCCCATCAACTTTATCATCCTCCGTTCTCCAGCGCTCCAAGAAGTCCCGAAGGGTCTTCTCCTTCCTCTGCCTCACTGTCAGCAAGTGGGAGAAGTGTTTTCTTGTGCGGCGCCTTCCCGCAAATTGCGTCAAGAATCGCTGGGCGAGTTCTTGCCATGAATCAATGCAGCCCTCGGGCAATCGATTGAACCATTCTTAGGCCGACCCCTCTAAGGTGGAGAGGAACCAGCGGCACAAATACTCATCGATGCCCCCACCATCATCATGCTGTTTTGGTATCCGCTGTAGTGCTCCTGGGGTCAGTTTTTCCGTCGTAGGGCTTGATGAGTTGCCCTCGGTATTTTTCCGGGATCCGGGCCGCCAATACCCTTGGGGTAAATGGCGTCCAGGTCCGGAGCTGTATGGTGGGTTCCCCGGAGCACTCGGTTATCTTCCTCTGCATTTCCTCCATCTTGGCCAACATGGCCTCATACTTGAGGTCTGTATGAGGGGCAGAAGTGGCGGCGTGTGCTTTGGTGGCCTCCATCTCGTCAAGCCGGCGCTGGAGGGCCGCAATGATTTCGTCCCGGGGGTCCTTCTGGAGGGCCTCCGCCCCCTGCGAATGGACGCGGGCCGAGTGGGCCTGGTTGATTTTGTGGCGGGCATTGTTGGCATGGAGAGGTGCCTTGCCTTTGTCCTGAGGGGGACGCCTTTCATTGGCCCTGGAGACGGATCCGCCACTTTCCTGAGGCCTCTAGAATGCCTTCCCCCCTCGGCGGTCTTGGACCCCTCAGCGGTCTTGCGCCCCTCCGAGTCTCTCGAGAGCGGAGGTCCGGAGCTGTTCTTTGTTCACGTTGTGGCGGTCCCGGGACTGGACTTCCTGGGAGGCCGTATCTTGGGCCATGACCCCCTCGACGTTCCCAATTCGGAGGACTGGGTTCCTGAGGGGGTGTGGATGAGGGGGAGGCATGACATTCTCCCCGACCTGAGGTTGGAGGGGAACCAAAGTGCTGAAGGCACCCGGATTCTGGGTGAGCGTCTGGATGAAGGTGGAAAACGCCGATTGTACGTCGATTGTAATTACCGGAGAGCTAACTTGGTTCTCGCTCCAGTCCTTTTTCTTGGCCTCGATGCCGAGGCGGGTATCGGGGGCATTCCGTTGAATCTGATGGCGTAGGTCGACAGCCGTGTGGTCCAACCCGGTGATGACGCCGCCCCCGGAAGCCCTGTTAGAGGCTTCGGGGACGTCGACTTCGCCGAGGGCCAGGTTCATGTCCTCAACATTCTTGGAGTTGGCACGAGTTGTTCTCACCATCTTAGCTAGGTGTTTTGTGTTTGGCGAGGGGGAGGGTTTCTTACTTGATTGTTCGACCTCTCAACGAGAGAACCAAATGATGGATAGTGTACCCGGGGGTAGCTTATCCGAGGGGTTATTGCGGAGAATAACTAGAGAGAAGTCAGAGCAAGTAAGTAAGAGGGATAATGTATTAGATGTGTGATCAGCGTATTTTGCTTCTGGGTTACAAATGGGGAAACAAGGTGCTATTTATAGTAGCAATAAATGCCAGATAGGGACACATGTCAAGCATCCATTGGCCGAGGGGTCACCTCAACTGGTTGGCACTGGCAATCGCATGTGGCCGCATTTAATGCGGCTGTTGGATGTGACGTCGTACTTGGTACGGTGATCTAGGCGTATGTGGAGCGGATATTATGTCGGGAAAGGTGCTCTGGGCTGCAGGTGTTTAGCCGAGGGATCTGAGTGCCGGGAACCCCCTTGTGCCGAAGGCTCTGGGTGCCGAGGGATACTGATTTTTTCCATTTTCTCCCAGTAACCTTGTTTTCTTGATTTGACCATCCTGTGAGAATTGGAGCCTTCGGCCAGGGGGGCGAAGGCACCCCTAGTGTGCCACGTGGGTTGCTTAGTACTTGGGGCGCCGTGATTTGGGTCTGCTGTACTTCCTGGGCCTATTGGGCCTCCATTAGAATAGTAGGAGTCTATGGGCCGGGGATTCCTGAGCCATACACTCCATCAGTACCCGTTTGAAAGATAGATCGAAGAGCATAACGTGTAGACATCCGAACCAACAATATCCCAATATGCCTCGATGAAAGTTGGATTCATGTCGCGAGCTCCAAATGCCTTGCCCGGATGCATATAAAAAACAACTTGCGTGACCTCATTTGGGCTGAGACTTCAATAGCATATGGTTATGAGATTCCAATACCCTCGAGAAGTTGTCAACCTCTGTGGGAATCTCTACATCCTCAATAGATTGAAACAACGTTGAGAAGTAGTCCTGCACAATTGCTCCCATCTCAGTCATGTATGTTGTCCATGAATTATCCAACTTGTTTAATTCCATCATCCTATTCTTCCTTCTCCTTTGCTTAACTGCATTATGCAAGAAACATGAGTTGATATTTCCTTCTCGAAGCCAGAACTTTTTTGCTTTTTGTTTCTAGTACATGTTTTCATGCTCCAACAAACTGGTCAACGTGGATCTCACACGCAACTGACGCAAGAATCCAGCTACACTTCGCTTACTATAGTTCTCCCGCAACAATGTCAACTGTCTCTTACATGCTTCAATTTGGCCTCTATAATCTTTCTTTCTACCACAAAGAAATAATTCTCTCACTAACCAATAGGCTAGAACCCGCATGCCAACCGCTCGAATCCAAACAATTTCAAACTTGAATTTCTTCACCGTGCGACTTGATTATGATAGAAGAATTCTAACACAAATAGTCATATAATCACTGACCTGTGCCTCCACCGATAATGTACTATATACAGAGTAATATTTTTGAAATCACAAAATACTAATGTCTCGAAAAATAATACTCCCTCCGTTTCTAAAAGAAAGTCACAGTTTGATTTCACGATGATTAATGAAATAAATTGACTTTATTGTAAAAAACACTGTTTAGACATTGTTTGACACTGTTTGGATGTAGATTTCTTTGCCAAATAAGAAAATAAGGGAAGTGTGACTTTGTTTTTGAAACATTTTAAAAAGGAAAGTGTGAGTTTCTTTTAGAAACGGAGGGAGTACTAATATGAATTTAACTCCTCTCAGTTAAATGGAATTCTCCATTAGGAGAGAGATAGAGTGAGATGGAAAAATGGTGAGATAGGGAGAAAGAAAATATGAGATTTAATTATTTTTTTAAATAGAAATAGAGTGAAAAAGAAATGTAGAAAATAAATGGAGAAAAGAAAATGAATAAGAAGATACTCTGCAATCAAATCGAAAGGGTGGTGGATTAGTACGGACCCGTAAAGTTTACTGTCACACAGCCCAAGTTATGGCCCCACAGACACACGCTACGTGTCTGCGGGCACGTATGTTCCTTGGACACCTCTTCTCCTCTGGTCTTGTGCAAATCACATACAAAGGCTCCAAATCAATCATCATCGCAGCAGCGCAACCTATGGCAGTTTATCTTCTTTCTATTCCTCCCAAACCTCCATTCTCGTGTAGTTAACCGCCGGATCCCCCCTCCCATTTATATCCTCTGTAATTAATTAATGCCTGTTTCGTAACGTTAAAGCCCTAATCGAAGGGTCGGTTTCATCAGAATTCGTGATGACGCTTGTAACCGGAGATCGCTACCTGGAGTCTCTGGTGAAGTTCGTGGAGAGCCACGCCGAGCCGCTGATCGAAGCTTGTCTTGTCCTCAAGCTCAATCCTATAGGCCTTCACTACGTTTGCTCCAGGCTCGAGGCGCTCGCCGAGTTGGAAACCCTTCTTGCCGGTGCTCCCGTGGATTACCTCCGCGCCTACGTCTCCGACCTCGGTGACCACCGAGCTCTTGAGCAGCTTCGTCGGATTCTTTGCCGCCTCCCCTCGCTGAAGGTCGTCTCCGTGCTGCCACCACCTGCCAGGGATCCCTCCCCGCTGTCGTTGCTGCCTTTTGCGAGGTTGAAGGTTCTGGAGCTTAGAGGATGTGACCTGTCTACCTCTGCTGCGCGTGGACTTCTCGAGCTCAGACATACTCTGGAGAAGTTGATATGTCATAATTCAACGGTCAGTTCCGTTCCCTGATTTGATTTGTTTATAGAAAAATCACTACTTTAACATTACAGCCTGACTGTGGTGAGATGCCTAATTCTCTTATAAAGTTACCAATAAATGCAAGGCTTGTTGTGACTTATGAAAAATAAACTATCTTCCACATTCTACTTTTTCAATTTGAAATTAAAAAATAAGCTCATTTTCACTTGAATTATTTCAGAATGCACTACGGCATGTCTTTGCAAGTAGGATTGCAGAAATAAAGGTCTCACGTCAGTGGAACCGTTTGTCATTTGTTTCCTGTGCTTGCAATGGCTTGCTTCTCATGGACGAATCCTTACAACTCCTTCCTGCTATTGAAACGCTAGATTTGAGCAGGAACAAGCTTGCTAAAGTGGATAATCTCCGGAAGTGCACCAAATTGAAGCTTCTAGATCTTGGTTTTAATCACCTCAGAAGTGTATCATCATTTAATGAGGTAAATGTTTCTGCTTCTGGGGAGAATAGAATATCGTTTATAGTGTATTTTAATCATCCAAGGATTCATCAAGGCTGTGTTTGTGAGTTCGAGTTTTGGAAGGATTTGAACGGACAGACTGACAGAAGGCTTGTTTTTCATTAAGAAAATATCTTTGCCACTTATTTATGGGTGGTGCTAACCACATCTCTTAGCGTAAAAGAGTTCGGGGTCGACTAACGTGAATAGACACATGAAATTGCAGTGAAAAAGATAAGAAAGATAAGATGGAAAAAAATATAAGATAAAGATAGAAATCATAAGATAAAAATGATGGAAAATATAAGATAAAAAGGATAAAGCACATAGGAAAGATAAAGAAGATAAAAAGGTAAAAGGATAAAAAGATGAAAACTGATTAATCATTCATACGAATATTCTCCCCACATTTTACTCTCTCCAAAGTCATAGTATCATCCAACCCAAGAAAAAACATCTTAATCCAAACTCATACTCCTTACTCCCTTAATCCACGGTTTGGGTCTTCTTCTCCCTCTCCTCCTCACCTCTTATCCACACCTCTCAACTCAGCTAACCAGTATATCACTCGGTCTTTTATTCACATGATCAAACCACTGGAATCGAGACTCTCACACCTTATCTTCAATAGGTGCTACTCCACCTTTTGTGCGACTGTCTTATACTTGTTCCTTGTAGCTTGCTTCACCGTGCATCATTTCATGAAGATGGATCTTTTTTTGGTGGCCGATATTCTTTAGATTATTCAAGTTTCTCCTTTGCTCCTTGGTTAATTGTCTGCTCCATTCATAATCTCACATCTTCCACATGCGTCATTGATTATCCATACAACATATTTTCACGAAACATTTTGTGTGCAATGCTTTGTTGGAGATCCCCTCGAACCTCCACCATTTTATCTTTGGCTCCACTCGTTGCTTAACCTGCCTTTTATGCTTTTTATCTTGAAAATCAAGCACATTGACATTAGTTTCACTTCTCACCTCTCACCTGGGATAACCTTACAATGGTTGTAGCTAGTTCTTCAAGTAGGGTCTACTAAGAAGTAATCAATTTGGGTACTATTAGCTCCTCTTCTATAGCCACAATGTGAGAGTCTCTTTATTTGAACCAAATGTTCATTATTGCCAACCTATACTTCGAAGCAAAATTCAAAATGTTTTTTGCTTCATTTCTAGTGTCAAAACCATGTCCGCCATGGATACTTTCAAAACCTTCACGACTTGAGCATACACGCCCGCTTAATTTCATAATTTTCATAAATTAACTAAAGCACTCGAAGAACTTTGAACATTCAAATAGGCAAAGATAAAGAATTCATCAAATAGCCACATTAATTATTCAAAAATTGAACATCAATTATAAAAGTTCTAAAATATTTATCTATCTTAGATATGGCCTTGTTGTGTTAGCATTTTCCTTTATTCCTTGTCATAAACCATATATGGAGAACAGTTCACTTAATCTAAAAATAATAAACAACCCTTCTTCCCTTCCATACCCCTTCCAAAGTCATACTCTCCAACTCCGAAAAATACCCCAAGCGTTGGATTCATGACTAGCATATGATTAGTGATTACCCTTGAAAAATCCTTTATTTACTTGGTTTAAAAGTATTCTCAACTCAACCAATTCTAAATGTTACTGCCAATCCAGTTGTGATTTTTAGAATTACTGAAATTTTATAACCTCTTTATCATGGTTTAGTTTAGATTGCCCGCAGTAACTGTATATGTAGAACTTCACATACTAAGTGGATGAGGCGTGCATTTTTCTAGTTAGTGGTCTATATTAAACTAACACATTACACATCCCATTATTTTATTCAGGTTTCTTGTTGCATTCTCAAGCTTGTATTGAGGAACAATACTTTGACTACATTGCATGGAATTGAGAATCTGAAGTCACTAGTTGGGCTTGATGTGTCCAACAACGTAATATCCAATTTCTCAGAGATAGAAGTCCTTTCCGAACTCTCATCTCTTCAAAACTTGTGGTTAGAAGGAAATCCTATTTGTTGCGCAAGATGGTATAGAGCCCAAGTTTTCACCTTTTTCCCCCATCCTCACCAAGTATGTTTTTCAGAATCACAATTTCTTTAAGCTTCCAATTCTCATTTTCATAAGCTTGATCACATACTTGCTCTCCACATCCCTAAACGTTGTTCCTACCTTCGTTTTTTGGTCATCCAGAAAAGTAAATAATTTTGTGGTTGATATACATTTTTTCATTTCTTAAATAAATCTCAGCCACATAATCACAATTTCACTGTGTTACTTCGCGAGTAAAAAGTAAATGAGAAGAGCATTTAGGGACAAAAGGAGCGTGCAATTAGTATGCCACCTTTAGCAACATTATATCTTACACTCCCTTCCTTTCTATGCCATGTGTGTGTACCAGTTGAAACTAGATGAAGAAAATCCTACCACAAGTGACTTGTGGAAGAGGAAAGTTATTATTGCCGGTAGGCAGAAACAACCCGCTAGCTTTGGATTCTATGCACCAGCAAGAGATGGTGCTGACCTAAGAGCCATAAATACAAAAAGGGTGAGTAGTAATCTTTTCTGAACTGTAGTCTAGGGACCTGGATTCTAGTTTCTCTTCAATCTGTAACATTGCTTATTTTGCATTTATGTTATGAAAACATTTTCAGAAGAAGGTGTCCCGACTGGTTAGCATTAAAAATGAAGAAGATATCACGTTCCTGTTATCAGATCAAGATTCTGTATCTTGTGATAATGACATTCACAGCAAAGTGGGGAGTGCCAATTCTGACCAGGAATCTGAAATTGTTGACTTGATGAACAAGATCGAACTTATGAAGAAAAAACGGTCCGATCTCTGGTTGCAGGAGTTCCAAGATTGGATGGATCATTATTCTGACGATTTCTTTGGCAGTATTGAAGGTATAGGGCCCAATTTAAATTCTAAAAGAAATCATCAATGGAAGGGAAAGGTTAGCATTAAGCAAAAAGGTGAGACCTCAAATGTTAGTAGTACAAATCTTCTAGAACCAGAAACCTCTTTTGCAGAGAGATCTATTGGTTGTAATGCACGAAGATACTCTACCCATGTAGGGGAAGCATCTTCAAAAAATGTAATGGGACTCCGGAAGGAACAAGAGAATGTCAATTACTCAAGTAATAAAGTAAGTCTCCCTGTGAGTGCTAGAATATCTACTTCTGATCCTGTTGTTAACGCCGAGGGTGATAAGATAAGTGGCAATAAAAATGCTGCAGTGAGTTATTTTCTTGAAACACATTCTTCCTTCACTGGCACTGGATCCCCTCCTCACTACAAAGAGGATATTCTGCATAGACGACTCAATCTGGAAGAAGAATTTCTGCAGCTTTCTACAGAATCTCTTTCGGTAGAATCTTCTGATAGTGATACAAGTTGCAGCGAGGAAGATTCCATTCAATATAAGCAGGCCAAATCTTCGGTTGACCAGTCAGTTATTGGAGATCTCATTGAAAATGGTGATGAATGCTGTCTACCTGAAACACATATTGCTTTGAATCAAAATGATAAACACACATCAGACTCATATACTGAAGAAAATTCTAGCTTTATAGTGGAGGTTCAAGGAGCAGACTGTGCCAGAAAAGATGCTGAAGTAGTAGATTTTGTGGTGCAAGAGGCCAATTGGCTAGAGAGCAAAAAGTCTAAACGGAAACCTAGAAGGAGAATGATATCACTACCTGAGGAGGCTAAAACAAATGGTCAAATTGAGCAACCAAAAAAAGCAAATGAAAAAATAAGTACTTGTAGAGGTGATGAAGATAGAATTTATTTCCTTGCCAATTTCCATAATGCTTCCCTGGAGACTTGACAATTCATGTACAATGATCAAAATTGCTTGCGGATCATAAAGATGAAACTTTCTCCGAGAAGAAATCGATATCTAGTGGGGTAGAACATTTTGTTAACGGTTACTTCGTCCCAAATATTTCACATGCTGGATCTAATCACACTATTCAGATATTTGTAGGTTGCTATTGTTTAGTTTATGAAGAAAAATGGGTGCAGTGAAAGGTAAATATATATCTATTATAGCTAGTTGATTTCTTTCTCTAAATATTTTTTTGTAGATATATATTTCACATTTGTAACTCGTATACTATGCATTCCATGATATGTATTTTTTTCAAATATAATGCCTTTAGTACTACATTTGTAGCTAGTTGATTTCTTTCTCTAAATATTTTTTTGTAGATATATATTTCACATTTGTACTTGTTTTTGATGGTCGCGTTGTTCAGCTCCCTGTAATCGATGCTGTAAGGAATAATTGTATTTAGATTTTGATGATGCTAGATTAATTAGGACTTTAGAGTACCCCTATTTAGATTTAATGTATTAGAATTTTCCTTTGTAAAGTTCTTAGAGTAATCGACTTGGCAGAATGCCTTCAGAGCAGAAGACCCTCGTAAGGCATTATTGAAACAGAGGACCCTTGGTTCTCTGCTTCAGAACAGAAGACCTCAGAGTCTCTGTTAGTCTTTACTCTGACAGAAACCCTTCTGTGTCTCTGTTTGATATTCTCCCAACAGAAGTGCTCCAGACCTCCTCTGTTCTACTCTCAGTTAAAGACACCAGAAGGTCTGACACTTAGAAGAATTTCACAGAACCGGGAAGTCAACTAAAAGATTCCTTCAACGGCTAGGAGTATGAAACGGAAAAGCTACAGTGTGCGCATTAAATGCTCATTTAATGCACCCCATGCTACGTAGAGTAATTGCAGATGATTGGCTGCATTGTCAGGAATATTTTATCCCAAAATAGTAACCCGCCAACTTTACCGGGCTCTACTAGTCAAGTCAACTGATCGCTCAATTAATGCAGTTGTCCTCCTACTCCTCCAACGGGAAGACAACCTCAGTATAAAAGATACACTACGAAGAACAAACGGATAACTTTGCAACTTTTGCTAACCATTGCTACAACTCTTCATACAAGATATTCAAACTCTGAAAAGCAAAAAGCCTCCTTGAGATTCAAACTCATTATCTTCTACAAGAGAAGGCAGAAGTCGGAAAAATACTTTTTCCAACTCAAGCAAAGTTCCAAGTGTTCTTCAACTCTTCAAGCTCATCACATACAAATCTTTTGTAACGAAGCTAGTTGGAGGAACCCCAGTTTCAACAGAAACTCTTCTTGCTACAAGAAGGACGTCCAAGTAACTGGAGTAGTGAAGTGGTGATACTTCAAGGAAACTCAGTGAAAGGACCAGTCTTAAAGGAAGCCAGGCAGTGCATCCCAGGAGACATCTAGGCTTGAAGAAGACGTGAAGTGCTTCTTAAGTGCTAGGACTAAGGCTTTGTAAACGGAAGTTTTTACAGCTTAGTGGAACAGTGGACTAGAGGAACAAGTTGTTCCTTGAACCACTATAAAAATCCCTGGTGTCGTTTACTTACTGCTTTAATATCTGCACTTAGATAGAACTGTTTAACTCCTCAGACTTGGTATCTGTGTTCAGCAGAACTTGTCCTACGAGTTAACAGAAGGCCTACTGCCTTTGCTTTTCTGAGGCTAAATCAACAGAACTCCCTACCAGAACCCCATCCGCTGCCAATCTGTTCTGTCAACAGAACAACCTATTCTGTAAATCTGGTACTTAGTTTAAAAAGCTAAAAACCAATACAGTCTATTCACCCCCCCTCTAGACTGTATCCAGTATAACCGGGACCAACAAGTGGTATCAGAGCCTCCTTGTTCTAATAATCTCTTAGGTTATTCGTTGAACAAAGATCCACTTGTTTTTCTGTTTGACCTCATTTCTATCTGATATAATGGATCACTCCTTATCCAAGAATCTTATGTTTTCAGATCTTAAGTTTGATGACCGGAGGATCCGGATGAAAGCACATCTCTGTGCCCTACATGATGAGATGTGGGAAGTTCTAGATATTGGCCCTTTCACAAGCTTCCAGAAGGTCAACCTTGAGCATGCTATTGATAACACCAGACCCCAGATGATCAGTAAAGCCAAGTCAGAATGGACCACTGAAGAGAGGAGAAAGTACAACCTAGACAATATTGCCAAGGACATCCTCTACAAGTCCATTGATGATAGGTACTTCAACAGAATCAAGAAGTGCAAGACTGTTAAGGAAATCTGGGATACTCTTGAGCTCATTGGAGCTGGTGATGAGCAAGAGAAGGACAACAAACTAACCATAGCCAACAAGAAGTTTGATGACTTCAAACTTCTCCCTGGTGAAAGCATCTCCAAGATGTATGACAGGCTCCTCACTCTCACTTGAGAGATCTCTGAGCTTGGCAAGGAACTCACCACCAAGGAGATCAACCTGAAGGTGTTGAGGGGACTGCCCTCAGCATGGAAGATGAAGGTGGTTGCTGTCCAAGCCAGCAAGGATGTAAAGACTTATCCCACTGATAAGCTAATTTCAGATCTCAAAGCTCATGAGTTTGAAATGATTGAAGAAAAGGAAGATGTACCAGAAGAGACGACCACTACAGCCCTCACTGCCAGCACATCAAAGGTAAATGATTTTGACCCTTCAGTACTTTTATCTAATGAATATATGGCTGCCTTTGCCAGGAGATTCAAAAAGTTTATGAAGAATCCCAAAGATGGAAGGAGTCCATCTTTCAACAGAAAACCATACCAGAAGGTCAAATCAACAGAAAGCAGTGGAGAGCTTCTCTGTTACAATTGCAGACAACCTGGTCACTTCAAGGCTGATTGTCCCCATCCAAGGGTGTCCATTTTTGATATAGCAGTGGAGAGCTTCTCTGTTACAGAAAGCAGTGGAGAGCTTCTCTGTTACTTATACATTAAATCTAAAGAGGGGTACTCTAAAGTCCTAATTAATATAGCATCATCAAAATCTAATTACAAATATTCCTTACAATTTCCCCCTTTTTGATGAGGCCAAAACCCTTTAACTATTTCCAGAGAAGTGCCTTCACCATAAAGAATTAAAGCTTAAAACTTTCATTAAAATCTTGGTGGGCAACTTGGCATAGGAGAATAGTAAGAGTACAGTACATTCAGATAGCAGATAATAATTCAAAGAGCAAACAAGCACAGGCAAAAAGCAAAGAGACAGGAGTTGAGGAATAGCCTTACAAAGTGAAAGGCAAAGATGTGATTTTATTAGATACAGTTTACAGAAATTATTTCTTACACATTCTCCATAGTAGCTGCTTGCAGAGCTTCTTCCTTCAATCTTTGAAGCCTTAGCAGCTCTTCATTGATTTCTGCTCTGATCTGAGATAGGTTACCAGAGCTTTGATAGGATGCGCAGATGGGAGATAGCTTGCAATCCAAGTAGCTAAGAACTCCTTCATGAATTGTCTTGCCAGGAACAATGTTCTTCTGGTACCAATCTTCTGCTTCTTCTAGGGATCCCCCATATCTGACTCGTACAACACCATCCTTATCTAGGAAGAGGTTCTGTTGTTGTGTGGGAGTCATTTTCATTTTCATTTCTTCAAATTGAGCTCTATCAATTTTCTGGGATCCACCCAATCTCCAATCAGTAAAACTAAGGATCTTCTTCTTTTTGGTGCCCTTCTTTACTGGAGATGGGGGTCTGGGTATACCTGCTGCTCTCTTTTTCTGTATGGCAGCTTCAAAGTATGGTACAGGGTCAACAGTTGGTTCAGCAGAGGAGGATGCTCTTGCAGAGGCTTTGGTGGACCGAGGCTTAGTCTGTTGAGGGTCCTCTTCCCCCTTTTTGGCATCATGGAGGTCCTCTAGCATTAGACTGATTTTCTGGAATTCTGAGGCCTGAGAAGTAGCTATCTGCTCAAGGGCCTCTGGTAAAGTCTGAGTGACAGAAGTGAGACCTTCTATCAGTCCATGCTGCTTCTGAATAGCAGAGAAGATGTCCTTGTTGTTGGCTTCCAGCAGGACCATCTTCGGGTATCTGTCTCTGTCAGCAGAGAGAAGATGTTGAGCTTGATCTTGGTGGACTTTGCACATTTCTTCTATGGAAAGCAGTTGCTTCTTAGTTCTGTGGTCAGATCGGTGCAGTGTCTCAAGATTCTCAGATAAGGTGCTGATGGCCTTTCCTTGATTCAGTAGAGTTTGATGAAAGACAGAGAGAGTCCTGTGAATACTGTCCACTTCTGTTGACAGTGCATCTGTTCTGGCAGAGGATGAGGCCATGAAGTTATGGAGGGATTCTGTGAGATTTTCAAAGCGGTCTGAGATAAACTACATCCCAGAGTTGAGGTTATCATTCACATGAGCAAGGTGCTCGAAGTGCTTGTCATTGATCTGGATCAGTTTGCCCATTCCTTCCAGGACTTGACCACCAAACACTTCTGCAGTTTCAACAAACCTGTTGAAGGGGATTTGTGGTATTGATCCTTCAGGTTCTGGCATTCCTAGTCCTCTGAACCTGTGCATGGGAGGCCTTCTGGTCTGTTGCAGAGAGGGTTTCTGGGGAGAGGGTTCTCTGGTAGGAGTAGGTTGACGTTTAGAAGTGAGGTCTCCAGCAAGAGAGGATGAAAGGAAGCCATCATTCTCACTATCAGACGAGAGAATGCGGTGAAGAGGCTGTCTCTTGAGAGTAGATGCAGCAGAATGCAGAGAGGTTCTGGGAGAATTTGTTGCAGGAGAGGGTGAGGGGGTATTTTGAGTGGAAGTTGATTTCTGTTGTGGGAGGGAATTCTGGTGCTGGGGTGTAGGTTGGGGAGAAGGGATTTTTTGTTGAGGGGAGGCATTCTGTTGTGGAGGAGATGGTGGAGGTGAGGGGGAGCGATTTCTGATTGGAATAAGTTCTTTGCAGGTGGAGGGTGATTTGGTTTTCTTATTTGATGAGTGAGGAGAGGTGGAAGTTTTCTGTTCTGATGTTTTTGGTTGAGGGTTCTCTGTAGGAGGGGTTTCTGTTGGGACGGTTTCTGTTGAAATAAGAAGGGAAGGGATTTGGGGTTCTGTTAAGATAGGAGCAGAATGGGTTGGGGAGATTACCTCAAGTATATTTTCTTCGGTCATGGAAGTCCTCCATTCCTTGATGAGCTCCATCATAGCCTGCCCTTCTGTCTTAGGTACAGAGGGTTCTCCTGGAATGGAGTGAGGTAGCACAGACTCTGTTGCCTTCTTAGCAAAAAGTCATTCTTCAAAAGCTTCTATCTCACCATCTTCAAGAGGCTTGACTGTCTCCTCTGAAGATGAGGATATGATAACAGTCTTTCCTTTGTAACTTGCCTTCTTCTTCTCGAGGACAGAATGGAGGAAGTTGAGGGCAAAGCACTTTGAGACATCATCAGTGCCCA